CACACACACACACACACACACCACCCCTTCTTTATCCAGTCATCTGTCGATGGCATTTAGGTAGTTTCGTGCCTTGCTATTGTAAATAGTGCTTCTATGAGCACTGGGGTGCATGCGTCTTTTTAAATTAAAGCTCCTCTGGATATACGCTCAAGAGTGGGATGGCTGGATCATATGGTAAGCCTATGTTTCAGTTTTTAAGGAACCTTCATACTGTCCTCCCCAGTGGCTGCACCAATTTACTTTCTCACCAACAGTGTAGGTCACCCTTTCACTTTTAAATAAAGGCAGGCATTCAGAGGTAGGTCAGGATAAATGAAAAATTCTCCTTTCTGGGTATGGACTCAGAGAAGTGAGTGTGGGGTCAGAGCCATGAGAAGTTCATGCACTATGCTGATGTCTCAGGAGAGGGGCTCACAAACAGAGCCCTGCCTTCTGACATTCCATGAGAATCTCAGGTGGTGCAGCCCACAGGGAATCTCAAAGTTAGGAAGCTGTTCATAATCCTTGCCTGCATCGTGATGTGCTCCTCAGGGAATTCGAGAGGCCAGGCTAATAACCACTTTTCCTTCCTGGTGGGGTGTCCCAAGCTCCAATGTGGGGTCACAGTGTCACCACTCAGGATGGCAGCATCCTGAGTCTGGAGGGTTCCTGTGGACCAAAACCTAGCCCAGGTGAGTGCACTGTGCTCCACGGTGGGGTGGGGTCAAGTGTTACAAACAGCATCTTGACTCCTGAGATCCACTTGCTTATCTGTAATGCAGGGTTTTCTTGCAGGCATCAGAACCCCAGGAAGCTTGTAAGCTAGGAGGGCCATCACTAGCACAGGGGAGGGGAAGGCTCTGGGTGCACCCTACACAGACTACACCACATCGGGCTACAGAAATCCCGTGTTCCTACATGTTGACACCTGGTGCTGGGTGAAGTCTGAGGATCCATCCTGCCTATATGGAGTGCCCCTGTTGGGTGGTGCGCCCAGAGCCTGGCAATGGCCTGTCCTGTCCCTACAGGTCCTGAACAACCTGGAGCTCCAGACCCTGAGCTGGCTTCTCCTTTGACCTCTCCCACCCACATGGATAAATTAGACATCTTTGTAAGCCTAACTGAATTCTGAAATAGAAATGGGAAGAAACTAAATGCCAAAGAATAAGAATCAGTAGCCAAAACATTCTTGATAAAGAACAAAGTCGGAGGTCTCGCACTTCCTGATTTTGAAACTTACTACAAAGCTACAGTAATCAAAACAGTGTGGTATGGGCATAAGCACAGACGTACAGACAGACCAATGGCATAAAATAGAGAGTCCAGAAGTTAACCCTTGCATATATGGTCCAGTAATTTTGAACAAGGTTGTCAAGACCATTCAGCATGGAAAGGATAGTCTTTTCAACTGGATATCCACACACAAAGAATGAACGTGGGTCCTTACCTTACACCGTATATAAAAATTACCTCGAAGTGGATCAAAGACCTATATGCAAGGGCTGAAAGTACAAAACTCTTAGAAGAAAACATAGAGGAACATTATCGTGACCTTGGATTTGGCAAAGGTTTCTTCAGTATAACACCAAAGCACAGGCAACAACAACAAACAAACTGGACTTCATCAAAATCAAAACCTTCCATACATCAAACGACACCATCAACAGAGTGAAACGGCAACCTATGGGATGGGATAGAATATTGAAAATCATACATCTGATAAGCAATGAATAGAGCATATATAAAATAGAATATATAAAGAACTCCTACAACTAAACCGAAAACCCAAGCAACCCAATTCAAAAGTGAGTAAAGGACTTAAATAGCCATTTCTCCAGAGAAGATATACAGATGGCTAATAAACACATGGCAGGATGCCCAACACCAGTGATCACTAGAGAAATGCAAACTAAAGCCGCAATGAGATGCTGCTTTGTGGCCATTAGGATGGCTGTCATCAAAAAACCAGAAAATCTCAAGTGTTGGTTAGGATGTAGGGAAATTAGAACCCTTTTTCATTGCTGCTGGGAATGTAAAATGGTAGAACCTCTGTAGAAAACAATACAGTGGTTCCTCAAAAAATTAAACAGAGAATTACTATATGACCCAGCAATTCTACTTCTGGGTATATCTGTTCAAGCAGGCACTTGGACAGATATTTGGACAGCCTTGTGGATAGCAGAATCATTCACAAGAGCCAAAAAGTGGAAGTAACTCAAATGTCCATCAATAAATGAATGGATAAGCAAACTAAGTTGTATCCATACTATGAAATATTATTCAAATAGTCTTAAAAAGGAAGGAAATTCTGACACATTACAAAATGGATAAAACTTAGGGACACTATAATGAGTGAAATTAGCTAGTAATAAAAAGACAAATATTATATGATTCCATTTATATGAAATATCTAGAATAGTCAAATTCCTAGAGGCAGAAAGGAGAATGGAATTAGGTAGGGAACTGTGAGTTAGTAGTTAATGGATACAGAGTTTCCATTGGAGAAAATAAAAAAGTTCTAGAGAGGAATGGTGGTGATGGTTGCACAACAATGTGTGTGTACTCAATGTGACTGAATGTACACCTAAAAATGGTTAAAATCGTACATTTCATGTTATATACATTTTCCACAGTAAACTATTTTCAAAATAAACAAACACAAAAGAATGAAAATCAAATTAAAGATTTTTCCATTGGCCACACAGCATTCAAGGAGAAATATATTTTAAGATGGGGGTAGAGGGGGTAAAACTTGGAACCTGGGACTTCATGGACAGCCAAGTTATCTTTCAGGAAAAAAGGTGATGTATGTTTGAAGACACACACAAGTTAATACAAATTAATTGCAAAATTTATTTGGAAGCACAAAGTCCAAGGCACACTGAAGAAAAAGAGCAAAAGTGGAGGACAGGCCCTCCAGGAATAACCAGACTCATCAAACAAGGACAGGAGAAGACACTGTGTCTGGTACAGGGAAAGACACACAGAGAAGCGGTCCAGAATAGAAAACCTAAAAAAAGGATCACATATATATGGACATTTGATATACGACAGATGATTTTACAGATCAGTTGGAAAAGAACAGACTGCACGATACGATGGGAAGACAAGTGCTTATGCAAATCCAAAGAGTGAAATTGGACCCCCACCATGCCAAAAATAACTTCCTAAGTTAAGGCTAAACTATACAAATTCTAGATGAGAATATAGAAAATATTTTATGACTCTGAACTGAGGAAGAATTTCTTAAATCAGAAAAACTATGAGCACCATAAAGGAAGTGATTGATGAACATGACTAAAATGAATTATAAACCGCTTCACGTAAAAAGTATTAAAACTATTAAGAAACTGAGTGGACAGACCACATACTGTGAGGAGCTATTTACCAAACATGTCACTGATTAAGACATGGTACTCAGATTATTTAAAGCATTCCTAAGATTTAATAAGAAAAGACAAACAATCCTATGGCAAAATGGGCCATTGACATAAGCAGAAATTTTTCAGAAATGGAAGAACAAAAAAGTGATAGACATGGAAAAAATTCTCACAATCAAATTTTTATGA